AAGTCCACATTTAATTTTGGAGAAGGAAATGGCACCCTCCAGTATTCTTGCCTGGAGAATCCCATGGACAGGGGAGCCTGGTGGGCTGCTGTCCATGGGGTCGCACAGAGTCGGACACGACTGAAGCGACTTAGCATGCATGATGCGTTGGAGAAGGAAACGGCAACCCACCCCCACCCCCCCAGTGTTCTTGCCTGGAGAATCCTGGGGACGGGGGAGCCTGGTGGGCTGCCGTCTATGGGGTCGCACAGAGTCGGACACGAATGAAGCGACTTAGCAACAGCAGCAGCAGCATTTAGTTTTACTAAAAAAACTTCAATAAATGGTGTTGGGAAAACTGGACAGCCACATGTGAAAGAATAAAAACTGTACTACTATCTTACACTAAACACAATTAGCTTCTTTTTTGCCTTCTACTGAAATTTTTATAAAATGCAGAAAAGAAATTCATTATAGTAATAAGTCTGGATTGCAGAAAATTGGCAAAATGAATTTTGGCAGTAAAAACAAACAATAGTAGATTCAGAGATAGATAGGAATATAGATAGATTTAATACTTATTTGACAATAGAGGCTTTCTACAACTTTCTAGCAGTATTTCTTTAAACAGTCACTATCTCCATGGCCAAATTTATTCCTATGTTTGAATCAAGGAATTTGTGTATCAGAAATAAGTAACTCCAGTGATCTATTTAGAGCCCTTAGTAGAAATAGCAAACAGAAACTCAGCACCTGCTAGGTGAGGAGGATGTGAACAGAGCTTCGGTTATATGTCTAATTTTAGGAGAATGTACTCTTGGCACCTCCAACAGTGATAACCACTAGGGCCAAGGAAAGGAAGTCTCTAAGCCTTCTCCTCTGTCACTTTCAGGGCCTTTAGAGTCATCCTCCAATCCAGCAGTAATAAAAAGCATGCTCCTGTAAATGCAGAATTATAAACATGAAACTGCTTTTCATCAAACTCAGGAAACTGGGCCAGTTACTTGGCAGTAGTAGTCTCCTAAGTGTAGGTGATTCCTCTAGACTTTGTTCACACAGACATTGAAACTAAAACTCTCATGGGATGTCTGCTCTTTGCCATTCTAGGAAAAATAAAAGTAATTGTAAATTTGTTACCTAAACGTATTTGATGGTATAGGAAATAAAAATTAATGATACATCACAATTTTAAACTGAGAAGGATTGTTTCCTTTGCTCCCAAGCCCTGAAATCCTTCTTTGATATGCATGGGACACCTGAGCAAACCTGACCTAGCAATCGGTTTTTTAGGATTCAATTCTGACTGTTAAGATCCTCAATTTTTGTCACCTACAAACTGAGTAAATAGTAAACATTTCTATGCAAATTAATGTTTTCAAATTTTTAATTTTTGAATGCATCTACTGATTTTCATTTGAATGAAAGTTTAAAGATAAAATAGGTAGACCAATTAAATAAATACCAATAAATGTCTGAAACTAGTACATCAACCTAATCTCTCAGAAGTTAATAAACACAAACATTTGATTTTGCTTCAGGCTAAAACTTGGCATTCAGAGTCGATGGTGGAGATGCAAATTGTTTTTCCAAACAACTGTTCATATTGGTTAAGCTGCTTCTTACATGTAAAGCAGTGGGGAAAAGGGAAAAGACAAACACTTTCTCAGGCTTCTTATGATTGTTTTAATCTATTCTGTGCAAAAATATGGCTTACAGTTTATTGCTGAAATGTAGGAACCTGAAGATTCCTGTCCACAGTTTTAAGTTTAACAAGTATTTCTATTTCTTTCAGAATAATGACTTCCAGAATTTAGTACTGTACTTTTAACAGTTATGCCCCTTCTACTCATTCAGAGAAATTCTCACAAGAGTCAGTGACCCCAAAATGCCCAGTTGAAACCATACCATGACAATTCATTGTTTTTATCATAACTATATAAACTGGTAATGTATCATTTTCCTTTCATGAGGCAATATCACTGCAATAATAATTTCTTTATAATAATTTCAATCATACTAAAATGCTTCTGAAAATAACAATAGGTGACGACAAACCCATGTTTGTACCAGATGCCATCTACTTCCACCTTGATGTGTTTTTTTTCTATAGCTTAGCAAATGTAAGAAAAAGCAATTTCCTTAGTATAACTTAAAATTTATTTTTTCCAAATAACAAATGATTTTTTAGCATAATTAAAACTTAAGTAACCAGTTTGTTGAAGCAACAAGTTGGCCTAGTAATAGTTTTCCATCTGAACCTTTGAACCTTCATATTCATCACAGTCCATCATCCAGTTCCTTTATCTAAAACAGAAAGAGTATATTAGGTACAAGTAAATTATCTTTTGAATCATACTTCTATGTCATCATGACTTATGTATATCACAGATGGAGGTGTTAGTGATATAGGAGTTTGGGATATGTTAGTACAGGTCCCGAAAAGAATCCCCAAAGTTTGGATTTTTAAAAATTGAAATCTTCATTAGGAGTTTTCTCTTTTTTTCTTCTAAAGAAAAACTACAGAAAAATAATTCAATGCTTTATTTGCTGCATTCTATATGTTCATAAAAACAAAAACAATATTTCAAAGGGACTTTGAAAGTAGGGCAGATGGGTGAAGACTGAAGCATATTTTCTTCTCATCTTGAATGTCGAATCACAGGGCAGATTAGATCACATAATGAAAGTCACAGGCCACTAATCAAATGATAAAAAAGTAAAAGATTTTTGCTTTCTGATTTACTCTCCTTTTCGTTAAGAGAGAATTAACTCCTAAATGACCATTTTGATAAATAAACCCCAGAATAGTAAGATTTATCTGTGGAAAATATATTATGCAGCTGGGACTCAAGAAGCTCTTCTTGCCAATCATGCCAGGGAAGTCTGTTCTAACACTAGCTTCTAAATCCTATGGCAAATTAATTGATACATTGATATAAATGGTTGTTAGTTATATTGGAGGGATTTGAGAGATCGATATTGAACAGAATGATTTGCCTTTGATTGGCAATTGAAGGTTCTCTTTAGTCAAACCAGTTACTGAGTTCTTGCTTTAGAACTCTATAGTATGGGGTTCCCTGTAATACTTCTATCATTTTCTATATGAAACATACTTATTCCTCTGCAGCATGATGGAAAGGTGAGAATGAGTGAATGTTCTTAATTTGACTTCTTTGGTTAACCTTTGAGACTTTTCATATCCCAATCCCCAGTTTGTGACCTCAAATATGGGATATTACCTTAACGTATTTCTTCTTCTGTTTATTATGCTGGGATTGTGTACCATAATTACTTTTTAAAAATAAAGTTTAATGTCCAAAAATAATGCTTTATACATAAATTGATCCCTTTTGCTACATGTAAATTGAGCATAGAAGCCCTCCACTACTATTGTCATTTCTTCAGTTGAGTCGATATGGTAGAATCAGGGGAAATCAGCCACAATCTTCAGACATTTTGGCTTTCTTTTAAGAAAAAAAATACCTTCTTAACATCCTACTAAATAAAGATGCTGTACAGGAAAATTAAAAAACAACTAGCTATAATTAACTCAGGAGAGCTCAAATATCTCTTTATGTTCATTGATTCTTTTTGGTATTCTTGAACAACTAGCATGACAACAAACCAAAAAATGTGTGTAATACTGAATGCCACAACTGTTTCCCAGGCTTGAGACTGAGACTCGTAAGTTGTTTTGACTAGGCAACTAATAACAATTTAGATAGTCCTATACAAATTCAGAGACATGAGATGCAAAACCATGACTGTCTTCCAGCACCTTCTTCTTGTCAGAACCATTTAAATCACCATCTTACACAAGTACATATTGAAACTCAACTTTAAGCATTTTATTTTTATGTACATTTCATTTTGTCCAGAAATAAAATATCTAAATACAGACTGTAATGTTGTATATGTATAGGTTTCAACAATACTTGAGCTGAATAAATGCTTTGTACATTGTTTGTCTTTTTAATGGAGTTCACAGCTACATCGATAGAATGGATTCCTCATATCCTTTTTTTTTCTTTTTAAACCAATAACAAGCAGAGAGACAAGTACAAGTTAATATTAATAAGCAGCTCAAATTACACTTGGTTAAACTATGTACAATACAAACCATTCATACAAATGAAGACTAGGATATTGAATTTGTTACAATATGTTTAGTAAAGATAAGACAGACACTTATAACTTACATGGTGTCTGTCAGGCATTTCCCTTCTTATATAATGATCAGAACTTGTTTTAAGCAGCCTTAGCTGGTCTCGACTTTGCAAAAGTCCAATGACTAGTGATGAAAGCTGTAGTCCAGTGTCTGCCCACATGTAAATTCCAAATGTTTGCTCATCTTTACTGAGAACAGGCTCCCTCCATAGAAAAAAGAGCTATCTCGGATCACCTTGAATGTGCCTACTGAATGCTGGAAAAAATTACTATATTTGTTGTGTTCATAAAATAAAGAATACTGAGCTCTAAAAACACATTTTTTTTTTCCATTTTAACAAGCATTATACTCCTACAGTAGTATTTACCAGTACAGCTACTCCAAGCAGTAGAAATGCATGAGTGGGGACTATTGATTAGCATGTACTCAAGACATTAAAGAGAGATTTCCATAACAGCAAGTGCTAAAAACCATTCACTGTCTAGTTAATCCTTTTGCTTGACGATCGTTTATCCTGAACCATTATGAGGCAGACAATGAAAGCCCTCTCAACAGGAATCATGACAGACGCCGGCTGAAATGTGTATGCGAGTGTGTTGGTGTATGTCTATGTGTGAGAGCGTGTCTTCAGGTGTGGCTTTAGAATCTGTGGTGATTTTGCGACTATACCAAGAGATGAAGCTGACTGGGCAGAAATTACATCAGGTTGTTTTCCACGAGCGTATTTGCAGTCAGTCGACGAGAGCAGCATGTGGACACGTTCCAGGCAACAGATGGGACCTTCTTCTCGAGGTGACAGCCCTGCCATGTGACCTGAATTCCTCGGGTCTCAGTCCCACCCCCACGTCCGTCCTCATCCGGAGGGGAAGTAAGGGGTGTCGCTGTGGTAGTTGTAGTCGGGACACACTTTCTGTACTAGTTTATAATCTGTACTATAAAAGGAAATGTAAATACAGATCACCTTAAAGGGCTTGGAGCAGAGCCAGGACACGTGACTTTGCGTCTGCTCCTGGTAACAGGTTTTTGAAGGGTCATAGTTGCAGAGTGTGTTCTTGGTAGCCTTGTCAACCTTTTCATACTCAATGCGGCAGTTAAAGGACTTGGAATCTTTGGCATCAATCACGGTTTGTTGTGCCAAGTCGAATTCCACTATTTTCGTAGGGGGTACCAAGCTGACAGATACATTCCCTTGACCAGTGGAATTGTGCCTGAAATAAACGCTAAACGTCCCATTGCCATGATCGACAATTTTCCCAGTTATCAACAGGTTTAGCTTCACTGTTTTGATGTTGGAATGAAAATCACCCCATCCAAACATTTTCTTAAACTTGCCCGTCTTAACTATGGGCCTTCGCTTGGCCCTAGGCCGGGGCTCTTGAAGGTCTGTGGAGTTCCTCAACCAGTCCCAGAGGTCTTGCTCAGAATAAGGTTCTGGGGTGTCATATCGCAGGTCTAAATCTGTATCATTTTCTTTGCCACGAAAAGTCTGTGACAGGAGTCGGCTGATCGACAAGTCTTTGCCGCTTTCTGTCCATATGTGCTTTAGTGTGGATTTGCTGCCTCCTGATTTTAGAAGTTCTGACTTCCCACCATTTGTTAAATTGGCACATGTGACCTGAAAATGGAACAGAAAAATCGTGTTTACATCTCTGTATCTGAGAACACGTAACACAAAGATTCAAGCCCTCTTTCAGTGGCTGGGGAATCAAGTACCTTCAGCACTTGGCCAATGTTTATTAAGCTGTGATTGAATACCACTGCTATTTTTATACAAGGATGGGAGAGAGGAGGTGGATAAAAACCATTAAACATGACAGAAGGACTATATAAAAACATTGACTTTGAAAAGGGCCACATAACATGAATACAGCAAAGCACCTTAGTGTGATTTCTGTTTGAATTACTTCTCAGCGCCCAAATCCAAACACTATTAAAATAAAATTTTACAAAGGATTATGCTACTTTTTTACTTTGAAATCACCACAAGCTTTAAAAAGGTATGATTCTCAGAAATATATCAACTGATATTCTACAGACTTTTGGTAGTCCATGCCACAGTCACATAGGGAAAGTTAGTTTTGCAGGGAGATTCTAGAATATGTTTTTCTGGTCAAAACAAAATAACTTGTTTATGATCACCTATTATTGGCAAGAAACACACTGTATAAGACAAATTTCCCATTAACAGATGTAAATGTGATCTAGTAAAACAAATGCTGACTGATAAGAGTAGTACAGACCTTTTGATTTGAGAGTTTAGTTTGGCCTGTGTATTTGTTTTGTTTCGATGGAACCTAATTGATTGGTCAAACATCCAAATCTGTACTTGCCTAGTTCTATTGTCTTTGTTCTTACTGCAGCCTCTGTATTTATCCTTAGTATAAAAGAAATAAATACATATCCCAGTCTCTCAAATTACACAGATAATTTCCAATTCTTTGGGTGGCAAAAAAAATAAATGTATTTGATAACGGTTTGGTACTTGTATCTCAGCAACAACATAGTTGATCAAGGAGACAGAGTATAATGAGATGAATCCATGGTGCACTGGCTCATGAAGCAGTAATGAAACTGTCCTACAGAAGAAGTAAAAGGGACTTAAGAGTGCATTTACCAGCAGAATATAGGGAGTAAAAGAGGAAAAAAAAAAGGAAGTGGCAGGTTTCAAGGGGAAAAAAAAAAAGAATCGGCTTAACAGGATGCTAAGATTCTGACAGCAGAACAACCTCTGATTTTCAAGCAGAATAGAAATTTACATCTAAATTATACTCTCCACAGCTGTAGTAATTATGAGTGCAAGCTCTGGAGTCAGACACCCTGAATCCCAATGCAGTCTATGATCCTTCACAGCTGTATGATCTGGGCCAGTTGCTTGACTTGTGTACATTTCTGTATTTCTCTTCCACAGAGTAGAAAAATGATATCCCTTTTCCTCACATGGCTGTTTGAAGAATTAAACAGGACAGTCCATTAAAAGCACTGAAGGACAGTATGTGGACACGATAAGTGTTCAACATTAGTATTTCTAACTATTATCATCCTCAAACATTTTACCTCTGAATCCCATGGGGTAATATTTTATGTAAATGAATAACAGACAATAGGATCTGAAAGCAAAGGTATCTTTATAAGAAAATCTCCCTTTTATTAATACATACCCCAAAACCTAAAGCAAACCATTTAAACATGTGCATACATATATAAGAATATATATAGTGCCCAGGAGGCACTAGTGGTAAAGAACCTGCCTGCCAGTGCAGGAGTCGTAAGAGGCAGATTCAATCCCTGAGTTGGGAAGATCCCCTGGGGGAGGGCATGGCAACCCACTCCAGTATTCTTGCCTGGAGAAGCCCATGGGCTGAGGAACCTGGATGGGAGGTTCCGGGGCGGGGGGTGGGGGGGTGGGCAAGGCTACAGTCCATAGGATCACAAAGAGTTGGACATGACTGAAGCGACTAAGAAAGTGAAAGTATTAGTCTCTCAGTAGTTTTCAACTCTTTGCGACCCCATGGACCATAGCGCCCCCTCCAGGCTCTTCTGTCCATGGTATTTCCCAGGCAAGAATACTGGAGTGGGTTGCCATTTCCTTCTCCAGGGGATCTTCCCGACCCAAGGATGGAACCCGGGTTGCCTGCGTTGCAGGCAGATTCTTTAACATCTGAGCCCCCAGGGAAGCCTGAAGTGGCTAAGCACACACATATATACTTTCCAAAGTATTTGGGCTGCTACCACAACCTAAAAACATGACAAGCTGAGTAGCTAGCAAAATTCAGATGAATAAAACATGAGCAGAACTTCAGCTATTACACTGTTCAAGGAACAAATGCAATGAATTTATCAGCCCTCAATGGTGCGATGTGAAAGGCTTCTAGTGGTGCAGTCAAGAGGCCTCTCTGCAACATCTGAGTTTAGGTACAGAATCAAAATAGGCGATAGTCATCAGCACTGCCTTGCCTATTCTTATTCTCCCTTCCTCTCCCTTTCATTTAGGCTTGGAGAGAAGCAGGGCAATGTCTAGGAGAGTTTCACTCATGAAAAATCAGGAAGGGCCCTTGATTCATCTAGCTTTATTAATTCAATAACTATATAGTGAGATTCTGCTAATATTGAGTGAAATAACAGGAATACAAAGGCAAATGAGATGTGGTTCTTTCTTTCAAGATGTTCACAATCTAATAGTGAAATTAGTTAAGCCAGAAGTATAGTGATGTGACCAACACTAGGTACAATATTCTTAGAGTCAAAGTTAAAAGGTAAAGAAGATATAACAGAGGAGATGATACTCAGATCTGGGAGACTAAAAAAAAAAAAGGTTTAGGACTTCAACAGATAATGAACAGGCCAGAGAAGTTCTTCTTAGTATAAGGAACATACTACACAAAAGTAAAAAGTTGAAAAAGAACATGTCAAATGTAAGAATGGAAAATAGTTCCTTATCTCTGAACTTCAGGGAGAACTGACAGGAGGATAAACAGAAGTTGCAAGAGATTAGCAGAACACAAAGGTCAGTTCAGTTCAGTCCCTCGGTCATGTCCAATTATTTGCAACCCCATGAACCACAGCATGCCAGGCCTCCTTATCCATCACCAACTCCTGGAGTCTACCCAAACCCATGTCCACTGAGTCGGTGATGCCATCCAACTATCTCATCCTTTGTCATCCTCTTCTCCTCCCACCCTCAGTTTTTCCCAGCATCACGGTCTTTTCAAATGAGTCAACTCTTCGCATCAGGTGGCCAAATTATTGGAGTTTTAGCTTCAACATCAGTCCTTCCAATGAACACCCAGGACTGATCTGCTTTAGGATGGACTGATTGGATATCCTTGCAGTCCAAGGGACTCTCAAGAGTCTTCTCCAACACCACAGTTCAAATGCATCAATTCTTCAGCGCTCAGGTTTCTTTACAGTCCAACTCTCACATCCATACATGACCACTGGAAAAACGATAGCCTTGACTAGATAGACCTTTGTTGGCAAAGTAATGTCTCTGTTTTTTAATATGCTGTCTAGGTTGGTCATAACTTTCCTTCCGAGGAGTAAGCATCTTTTAATTTCATGGCTGCAATCACCATATGCAGTGATTTTGGAGCCCCAAAATATTAAGTTAGCCATGGTTTCCACTGTTTCCCCATCTATTTGCCATGAGGTGATGGGATCGGATACCATGATCTTAGTTTCTGAATGTCGAGCTTTAAGCCAACTTTTTCACTCTCCTGTTTCACTTTCATCAAGAGGCTCTTTAGGTCTTCTTCACTTTCTGCCATAAGGGTGGTGTCATCTGCATATCTGAGGTTATTGATATTTCTCCTGGCAATCTTTTTTTTTTTTTTTTGCAAGTTGCTTTATTTACAATGCCAACTTTAAAAGCACTGAACTAAAATTAAGTGGACAATAAACTAGGCAGAAATTGCTTTACAAAAAGGGAAAGCCCAAAATGCCACTTTCTATAGGGAACCCACAGTTCAATTTTATTCAGAGCAAAGAAAAGAAACTTTCAATCATACTAGAAGAAACTGGGCCATAAGTTTGGGAACTGTACTGAAACTACACATGCAATGAGGACAACATTCTGCTAATACAATTGACTTGCTGCTGCATTTGTTGACTGTTTTTCTAATATTAACAATTATAAACAAAGCAGTGCAACTAGTATTTGGAATAATCCTTACAGTGTTACAGTGTTAGACACGAAATTTCACTTCTCCTCACACCACTGGTTCTCTTTGCGTACCTGGGCTTCCTCTTCCTCAGTAAAATCATTTTTGATATTGAATGTCTTTCGAATCTCCTCAGGAGTTTTCCCCTTGATCATATTAGCAACAGTCTTGCAGGTAACATCAAGCAAACCTTTGATGTCTAAGTAGTTTGCTGCCAATATAAGCTCAAAGAGTGTCCCTTGGTCAACTTTCAGAAATTCTTGATCCCGAACAGGTATATCATCTGTTCGTTTTTCTTTGTTCTCATCATCCTCGGGAGGAGGAGGATCATCCTTGTGGTTGGTGCACCACTGAATGACCTTTTTCAAGATTGCTGCATTAACATTTCGCAAGGGGACTGGATCATCATCTCCTTCATCATCCATTCCTAAATCTTCCAACATAGTCTTGATGGTCACAGACTGTTTTGCAATTTCAACATCAACTTCGAATATCTCTCCATCAGAACTCTGCAACTTAATTGAAGGCATGGTATTAGGTCTCAAAGAGATAGAAGGCCGGAGGCTGACGTGAGCAGGGAGGGGTCGTCCAACAGCAAAACCTAAAGGCCTCTCCCAGCAATCTTGATTCCAGCTTGTGCTTCATCCAGCCCAGCATTTCTCATGATGTACTCTGCATATAAGTTAAATAAGCAGGGTGATGATATACAGCCTTGACGTACTCCTTTTCCTGTTTGGAACCAGTCTGTTGTTCCATGTCTAGTTCTAACTGTTGCTTCCTGACCTGCATACAGGTTTCTCAAAAGGCAGGTCAGGTGGTCTGGTATTCTCATCTCTTTCAGAATTTTCCAGTTTCTTGTGATCCACACAGTCAAGGGCTTTGGCACAGTCAATAAAGCATTTTAGATGTTTTCTGGAACTCTCTTGCTTTTTCGATGATCCAGCAGATGTTGCCAATTTGATCTCTGGTTCCTCTGCCTTTTCTAAAACCAGCTTGAACATCTGGAAGTTCATAGTTCACGTATTGCTGAAGCCTGGCTTGGAGAATTTTGAGCATTACTTTACTAGAGTGTGAGATGAGTGCAATTGTGCGGTAGTCTGAGCATTCTTTGGCATTGCCTTCCTTTGGGATTGGAATGAAAACTGACCTTTTCAAGTCCTGTGGCCACTGCTGCATTTTTCAAATTTGCTGGCATATTGAGTGCAGCACTTTCACAGCACCATCTTTTAGGATTTGAAATAACTCAGCTGGAATTCCATCACCTCTACTAGCTTTGTTCGTAGTGATGCTTTCTAAGGCCCAGTTGACTTCACATTCCAGGCTGTCTGGCTCTAGGTGAGTGATGTCACCATCGTGAATATCTGGGCCATGAAGATCTCTTTTGTACAGTTCTTCTGTGTTCTTGCCACCTCTTCTTAATATCTTCTGCTTCTGTTAGGTCCATACCATTTCTGTCCTTTATTGAGCCCACCTTTGCATGAAATTTTCCCTTGGTATCTCTAATTTTCTTGAAGAGATCTCAAGTCTTTCCCATTCTGTTGTTTTCTCTATTTCTTTGCATTGATCACTGAGGAAGGCTTTCTTATCTCTCCTTGCTATTCTTTGGAACTCTGCATTCAAATGGGAATATCTTTCCTTTTCTCCTTTGCTTTTCGCTTCAAAGAAAGTAGGGTAGGGTCAACTTGTGAAGGTTCTAGGGTCAATTTATGAAGGTATTTAAAGTTAATCTTATAGATAATGAGGATTCCTTAAATTTTGTCGTATTTTACTTTTAATTAGGTCATTCTGGCTCTAAAAGAATCACTGATTGGAAATTGAAAGGTAGATTGGTAGGGAGAAACCCTGAGAGAATAATTAGTTAAATAACAAATTGTATACTCCTTTTGAGAAAGTAAATGAGCCTGAACCAAGGCAATGGCAGAGAAAAAGAGAAAGAAAAAAATGGATATAAAAGGTATTTCAGAGGCAGGATTAGCTCAATTTGACAATATATATTGGCTAAGCAGGTATGTGAAAAAGTTGAGAATTAATGAGTTGTCTTGCATCTGTAAGAAATACAAAAGTTAAAAGTTAAAAAAGTATATAAACACTTGAAAAGAAGTCTACTGATTTTTAAATTAACTACTAAGGACCATCTTGAAGCAAGTTTTAGTGATGGTAAAGACATGATGTAAGATGAAAAAGAAGTACAACTATCTTAATACATCTGCTCCCAGATGCAATCAAGAATTCTTGGCATTCTCACTCTATTTTGTTGCTTTACATATGAAGAATTTTCATTTTTGAAACACATAAATGTACACATAAAATTGAGATAGATTTTGAGCCTTACTGAATAAACAATATATTTTTTTAAAAATCTTAGACTCAGAACACTTTCTGTCATTGATTTTTACAAACATAAGAGAAGTGTTTCTTTTGAAAAGTCACCTAAAGATCCTCTCACATCAGTATATCAGAATGACGACAGAGGTGGTGAAGACTATGGCATAAAATGAGCCCAAAAGAAAAATCTGACAATCACCAACTAACTCAATTCCAAAAAGTCAATGCACTGTGAATTTTTTTCTACCAAGAGTCATTTTTTTTTATAACAGTGAAAGCACTAAAGATACTTCCTAACTGAATATAATTTTCCAAGTCAAAAGTGGTGGCATTTGAATCAATTCTAATGAAGTGGATGAAACTGGAGCCTATTATACAGAGTGAGGTAAGTCAGAAAGAAAAACACCAATACAGTATATTAACGCATATATATGGAATTTAGAAAGATGGTAATGACAACACTATATGTGAGACAGCAAAAGAGACACAGATATAAAGAACAGACTTTTGGACTCTGTGGGAGAAGGCGAGGGTGGGATGATTTGAGAGAATAGCATTGAAACATGTATATTACCATATGTGAAATAGATTACCAGTCCAAGTTTGATGCACAAAACAGGGCACTCAAAGCCAGTTCACTGGCATGACCCAGAGGGATGGGAAGGGGAGGGAGGTGAAAGAGGGGTTCAGGATGGGGCCACATGTGCACCCATGACTGATTCATGTCAATGTATGGCAAAAACCACCACAATATTGTAAAGCAATTCAGTCAGTCAGTTCAGTCACTCAGTTGTGTCCGACTCTTTGCGACTCCCTGAATCATAGCACGCCAGGCCTCCCTGTCCATCACAAACTCCCGGAGTTTACTCAAACTCATGCCCATCGAGTCGGTGATGCCATCCAGCCGTCTCATCCTCTGCCGTCCCCTTCTCCTCCTGCCCCCAATCCCTCCCAGCATCAGGGTCTTTTCCAAGGAGTCAACTCTTCGCATGAGGTGGCCAAAGTATTGGAGTTTCAGCTTCAGCATCAGTCCTTCCAATGAACACCCAAGACTTAGGACTAGCCTCCAATTAAAGTAAATTAGTTAATTTTAAAAAGTGGCCAATGTCTCAAAAATAAAAAAATTTTAAGAAGTGGACAACACCCACTCCAAAGGAGTTGACCCACTCACTAGTCCAATCATACCATTTCCAAAAATTATGTGAGTTGTCTAATTGCTTTAGAAACAATGAGAATCATAGAGACTCTTACCATGATCAGGAATATGCATATTAAAGTGCATGTTTCTTTTGACAACATTCAAAAATAGGTGCAAAGACAAGGGTCATTTTCTTCAACCATAAACAAAGACAGAGCTTGAATCTAACATTAAGGGAGCTTGTCTGGGGCAGGACCTGCGTGGGGGGCTAGAAAGAAGAGACTGCTATTGACTGGTGGGGGGGTAAGCATATAAAGAGTTGAGACACCTCAGTCTAGCTCCTCCTTTCTATCTCTCAGAGCCATACTTTCACATTGCTTTCTCTAACAGCTTTTCATTACAGGCTTATAATCCTAATGTCAATATATTATCTCTTAAAATATTGTTGAAAGACATCACTTTTGGAAGAGATGCTTAACTAACACTTCAACTATGCTCCTGGCCTTATAAGATTTTATGTAAACAGGTCCCTCTTTCACATGTACATCTCTGACTAGAGACACCTTCAGATGGTCTGTGTATCTGTTTTTATAAAAGAGCAATAAGGTGCCTTTTAATTTCTACCAGCCCTCACATTTACTGTTGATCTATTACTGTTCAATATAAATTATCTCAAGATTACGTGGAAAATCATGTGTTTATTTCATCAACTGTATGAATATTTAAGCCAAACAAAAATTCTGGATAACCTGATGCTTAAGCAATATCTCTCATCAGTGAATAACTAATCAACAAAACGACCTTGCTCTGTGATTACAACTTCCTTTTGGCAGTTTATGATTTGCTACATTGAATATACATCGCATACTATCAACTGCTATTAGTTAAGGGCATACTATCTTCAGACACTGTAATTAGCTTTACATGTGGCATTGCACTTCATTTAAACCACAAACACACACACACTCATTCACTGACTCACAGACATTATTGTTATTTTCAACTTACAGGCAGAGATATGGCAGCTTGAGAAGAACTTGTTCAAGATTACTGCTGGTAAGTGAAAGAGCTACTGCTTATTATTCCTGGGTATTTCCTTTATTTTTAAAATTATTTTAATCATATACAATTATACATTAATATATGTTTATCAAAACATTTAAACACTAGAGGATTTATGAAGTAAAAATTAAAAGCCTATCTTCATAATCAACCCCTGCTCCCTTATAAGCCCACCTCTCTCTGTAAAGATAAAACCTCAAATTTTGATGTATATTGTTCCTAAACATTTTCACTATTTTTCATGTATAAATATTTACATCACTACTGTTGTATTTTATGATTTGCATTTTGCATTTTTTCCAATCAACAATCTTTGAGATGCATAGCTCTTAGTTCATAAAGGTATATCATCTTTATTAAATAGGAAATAGAATTCTAGAATATAAATGTATCATATTTCTATTTTGGGGTTACCTTTTGTAATAGATCCTTAATCATTACACTGTTTCACAGACATTTTTTAGCCTTTATTCCATTGGTTTTTCTAGTCATTATTGCTTCAGATAGCTTCGTTGCTCTTCTGGATTTTCATGTCTATGGTTGCATAGATTTGTGTGATCCTTTAAAAAACAGTTCACATGGGATAAGCTATCTCAGTAGTCTATGCCTAAAAATGTCTTTACTGGCCATAGGCTTACATTGGGCAGAATAGTCATTCATCTTTCAATGCCTTTTGTTCTGTGATTTTTTTTTTTCTCTCTCCAAAAGAGCTAGGATATTTTTCTGCTTCAGGTATTGTGAAATCTCACAAGGTGAGCTACCTGTGCTCATGCTTTCTCCAGACCTTTTCTTAACTAGTTGAGGGAAAAGCATGCAGATATTCACAGCCATGCTAGGCTCTTTTTCATAGCATTCCCCCAAAAGGACTATAACCCCTTCTTTCTGTATTATTCCATTTTGTAACTTGAGGAAAGGACTACCTCGCATAGGGTAAGCACTCAATAAATTATATACATGGTTTATATTCTTACTTACATTAGTTTCAATAGGGAGGGTTCAGTGATT